TGGAAAATGAATTATATGACTTTTATTACATGGTATCCCAATACCCACACTTATCGACTTTTCCTCTTCTCTTCCATTTTTGTTTTGATATTGGACTAGATAGTAGCAGAATGAGGTTTATGCCATCCTAATTTCAGTTTAATTTTAGAGATTCATATGCAACTGTTCAATTCAGTACAGAATTATGGCATGTCTTCTACATGCACTGGATTATCTGGGGCACTGTGGAGAGACTCAAATTAGGTGGGAAGACTTGATCCCTGCCTTCAAGGCATGTACAGTCCTGTTAAGGAAACAAAACTTGTGAACATGGAGCAATTAAGTAACAATACCAAGGCAGCTTATAATAAAGTGATAAATTAAATATCATCAAGTACCGTAATTATACGGTTCAAACTGTAACTCTTATGGGCAGAACTAGCCAGAGTTAATTGATCATTTTGAATAATTCAGCAAGAGAAGAGGAACATAATTTATCCTTGTCTGAATTTTCGCAGTTAAGTCACCCACCCCTTTTTATAACTTAGTCACATTCTCAGGCATGTGGCATTATTAACCCTCGTTTCCTCTTGGTTTGCCTGCAGCTACATCTCTGTCTCATGATCCTTATGATTTTGCTTAAGTGTAATACCCAGATTAACCAGAGGCCAGACTGTAGCTAATCACTACCATCCAGAAAATATTTTGAACATGAGAACAAGTAGAGAAGGCTTTGAGGGTACAGAGTCCAGCTGGGTGAGTTTTAGAAGAAGGTGAACTCTGTGTGGGATCTTCCCCAGGTTGGACATGAAAATCCAAATCCTACAAAAAGAAGCAAGTGTTTTCACGTACAGTCAACCGACGACAAAGGGAAGAAACTAAACAGCTGTCAACTTAGGACAGGGTTTGAGCCATTCCAAACTGGGGCAAATAACCTATGTACATACCTTAAGAGATCTCAAGAGAGTCCTTTTACTGCATTATACGATGCAGTAAAATAATTGATGCTTGTTGGAATGGAATGGAATACATGTGAATTAAAGAAAATAAGTGATTGATATATTCCATAATTAGTTACAAGAAAAACTGTTAAAATGAAAGCATGTTTTAGAGATTAAAGAGATAACTTTCAGTTATTTGAATGTTTTACTTTGAGGCAAACCACATTCTCTGGAGAGAGAAGGTAAAGGAACTATTACTGTATTACTGTATCTTTATGTAACAGAATATTTACATATTAGAGCTCAAAACTTCAAAGGAGATCTGGGTTAATGACCCGTCATTAGACTCAGAGCTGTCTCTAGCTGACTGTAAAGTAAACAAGGCTGGTTTGCTTTACTCTTCTCCTGTCTCCACCTGTGACTTCTCTTGCTGTTCCTCAGTTTCTCTTTGCTCTACTCTCTATGTGAGACCCCCAGCTCCCCACTAAACACTTCCATTCCAGTTGTCCTTCACTGGCAAGTCGCCTGCTCTGGATCTGTCTCATTTTCTCCTTTCCCATCCCAACTATCTCATCATATACATCTCAGAACCCTGTTCTCTTCTAGATAACTTCATAACCAGCCCCACATTAATGTCAAGTGGAGATTAATGGTGTGATGTGTGGCTCTTAAAGGATCCCCTCTGTTGACAACCTTAGTGGTGGAAATGTCAGCAAAGTCAGGGAGTATTTTTAACACAAGTGGAACTTTCTGCTTAAATATGTAGAGTAGGTGTCTGTTTTCTCTGTCTGTACATAGGGCAACCCTGATTAACTTTTTAATCAAATTACGGAGCTGAGAAGGAATCATGTTGCAGTGTCTGAAGGGTTAGTTAACATTGCCTCTGACATTGCCAGGATATTTTCACACTCTGTTACCTGAAAGAAGATAAAAGTCACATGTTGCTGATATTGGTATATTTAAATAAAAAGCTGGTTAGTGTTTGTCCCTGAGAAGAAAGGAGATCACGCCTTTATGTGACTTCTAGTTAATACCGTCCTTGAACATTTTAAGAGCCCTGAATATGTGAGCCAGAGCAGTCAGTTTGAAGGGAATGGTACTGGAGAGCAAACATCTTTCACATTTTCAGCAACAATCCAGATAGACAACAGCTTTGGGGGCTATGCTTTTATTTATTTAATTAGTTCATCACTGCCATTCATTCTGTAGTTTCCAGTGGACTAGTCTTCTAATCATTAGAAAAAGCCTGTGTAGTCCTGGCTGATGAGCTCTGACTATATTCAATTGAGAAGGGACATAATTACATGTACTGCGAGAGTGAAGGATGCATGGGTACATAAGTGAGGATGCTGCTGACTCTGGAAAATTCTTTGGGCTCCTTTCCCAGCATTGCAAAGGCCAGCCCTCTCTGCTGTTCCCCTGTCAGATGCTGAAGCCACCTTTCCATTATTCAAGGACTGATGCTGCTGAGGTGTCCTCATTCTGTTTCTTCTCCCTTTAGATGTTTAGCTTTTGATCATTTTCCTGTTTAACAGCACCTCCACAGGAAGGTAGAGGATAGGGAAGAAACAAAGGCAAAATTCAAACAAATCAATTGTATTGTGTGTAGGACACAGCAGGTATGTTGCCTTCACTGTCAGCAAAGCAGCTCTTTCTTTCTTTCTTTCTTTCTTTTTTTTTTTTTTGAGGAAGATTAGCCCTGAGCTAACTGCTGCCAATCCTCCTCTTTTTGCTGAGGAAGACTGGCCCTGAGCTAACATCCGTGCTCATCTTCCTCTACTTTATACGTGGGACACGTACCACAGCATGACTGGTCATACAGTGCCACGTCCGCACCGGGGATCCGAAACAGCGAACCCCGGGCCGCTGAAGCAGAACGTGTGAACCCAACCACTGTGCCACCGGCGGCCCCAAGGCCGCTCTTTCTTATCCTCCTACCCCAAACCCAAATTCTCAAATCCTTCCTTCCTTTATGCAAACTGTTTCAACAGACTCTCAGGCGGTCTTCAGGGCTATGGGAGGAAACTTCTTCCCAAAAAGAACAGCGGCTGTTGTATAAGTAAATCCCCTGGATACAAATGGGCAGAGAGTGCATGGTGTCAGCAATTAATTCTCATGTGTCCTTAACCAACATTCATCCTCTGCAGGCTTCCGTTGCCTTATCTGCCGTGGAGAGTACTTGAGCGATTCAGGAACACATTTACGTTTCAGTTCGACAGGAAATCTATTAATCTGATTTTTGGCTATTTTCCGTCCCCCATTTACTTTTTTATTTATTTGCTCTAATTTTTATAATTATTTTAATATTTAAGGTAACATTTGTACCAATAAAAAATGTCTAAAGGAGACGTTAGTGACCTCCCCCAAGCTTGCCCCTCCCCCATCTCTGTCCTCCCTGAAGTATTTAACTTTAATACCATGGTGTATTCTTTTCTTGATGTTCCTTCATGTTCATACAAAATATATAAATATATGCACATAATCAGAAAATATGCAGACTTCACCTTTTCACCTCTTTTAGGGTTCTGCTCAATCGTCTTTTTTCTGAGAGACCTGTCCCAAGCACCCTATTTAGAGTCCTCCCAGCCACCTCAGGTCCTCCCTACGTGCACCTACGCTGCTTGATTTTTCCCTTGAACACTTGTCACCGTCGGACATACTATATCTTTTTCTTATTTGTTTATTTTTCATGTGTCCCTGACCACTAGAATATCAGCTCCCTGAGGGCCAAATTTGGTGTCTGTTTTTATTACTGTTGTGATTTGATGCTGGAATAGTGCCCAACACTCAGTGCTCAAAAATCCCTTATAGAATGAATATAAGTATTTAGAAAGAGAATATTTCTTTGGAAGTGGTTATTTTGTTTTTTAAAAAGTTGGATGATACTGAACAAATAAGTCTACAGTTTGCTTTTTGTATTGGACAACCGGCAAGGACAATAGATACATATCTCTTTCTTAAAAAATTTTATGTATATAATATTTCACAGTATGGATTATATTATATTTAACCATTCTCATATTGATGGACATCTAGTTGTTTCCATGGAAACAATATAATATACTTTCAGTGTTATCCTTATATGCTGGTGCTTTTATTAATAAAATGTATAATAACAGCTAAGTTGTTGATTGCTTTCAGGCCAGAACTTTTCTAAGTGTGTTACATCCATTAACTCATTTAATTTTCCCAACAATCCTATACGGTAGGTTTAGTTTTTATCTCTGTGCGGTGGGATACAGCAGAGAGGACTGAGGTACAGGGAGCTTAAGTAACCGGCCCCCAGTCATGCTTTTGCCAAGGGGCTGAGTCAGGATTTAAACCCTGGCAGTCTACATCCAAAGCCTCCTCTCTAACCATTCTACTTGTTAACAAAGGTAGGATTGGCTTGTCAAAGGTGATATGTGTTTTAAATGTAACAGCTACTGCCAATTAATTTCCAAACAAATTTTAAGTTCATACTGTCACCAGCCATGAATAAGAGTGTCTGTTTTCTTTTACTCTCATCAGGACATTTTTGATGTTATTATATGTCACTTTGTTAATTTTTAAAACTTTGCAGAAGTAATGGCTTGAAAGAAAAACTGTTTTGGAAACAACTTCTCATGAGGATTAATCTGGTGGTTGGGAATTAATACCAGTGTGGTTTATATTGCTATCCCAGTAGAAAATTCCTGTAGCAAATGCCTTCAATGATATAGGAGTGAAGGCTAATTGTTACACAGTCATGTACCTCTAATTTACTATTAAAGATACAGGGATTAGGAAATGCCTATTCCTAGCAGGGAGGCTGTTTCTAACTGCCACGCTTCTTTCCTTTACATAGGATAGGGTGAACCAAACCTTGAATGTGAGATGTCTTGTTAAAAAGAAAGGAAGTTGAGGGCTTGGCCCCATGGCAGAGTGGTTAAAGTTCTGCATGCTCTGCTTTGGTGGCCCTGGTTCACGGGTTCAAAATCCCAGGCGTCGACCTACTCCACTCACTAGCCATGCTGTGGAGGTGTCCTACGTACAAAATAGAAGAAGATTGGCACAGATGTTAGCTCAGGTCTGGTCTTCATCAAGCAAAAGGAAGAAAATACTAAAGGAGTGGATTGGCAGTAGATGTTAGCTCAGGGCAAATCTTCCTCTTACAAAAATAAAAGGAAGTTGAACATATGACAGTGTAGTCATATGCTAAGTACACTTCAGCTGTTGATGTGTTGTTTCTGCATTAGGCACTCACTTATTCTATCATCAAGAGGTTTCCAAGAATGCAACTGTGGCTGAGTTTATTATGACTGGTATCAAATTCATATGAAGAGAATATGATCCTTCAGCAAATGAGTCTGTACTATAAACAATGGGCTATGAATGACAAATGAAATAAAATGTATTCATTTGTAGAATTGCCAACCTATTGTGAAGAATTTCTGTCCTTAGGGTGACCATATAATTTGTTTGAACTGTGAAACTTTTGAGAGTGGAAGGAGTCCTACCAACAGTAATCATGCTGGGGTAACAGGTGTACGCCATGACCGTTCCAAGCAAACTGGCATCAATGAGCGCTCTACATATTCTAGACTTTCATTTTCTACTGCTCCCACATACATGCTTCAAAGTCTACTTTAGAAAAATATTGGATAAGTGATCAACAGTAATATTTTCTATCTCATTTCCTTCTCTTTATCTGTCTGTCTCTGTCCCTCTTTCCTTCTCTCATTTGATATTTCTTCATTTTTCCAGATCACTAGATTCCTCAACCCTCAAAATACAATATTTCTACTTCTAGTAGTTAATATTGTAAATAGGGAAAAATATCACCTAAAGTCCACTGAGTTTCTTGGGTTCTAGTGTAGATGAACAATGGGCCAATGGTCCTGTTGTCTTGGACTGTGCTTGCCCTTTTTGTACTGTCTCATTACCTGCAATTTCTGTTCTTAAAATACATTCTATGGGTTATTTCTGAAATAGAAACTCTTGCAATCCATGAAAACAAATATATCTGAATATTTTAAAGGCAGAGAGAGAGAGACAGTCAGAGACAGAGAGAGAGAGAGACAGAGAAAGGCAGAGACTGAACTGGATAGAAAAAGGAAGAAAGGGTGAGAAGACTGTCCTAATAGAAGTGATCAAATCCTTCAACCATGGTTAGTTTCAGTTCTCTAGACACACATTGTTGCTTCCTGACCATGTTAAATTACACCTAAATGAATTTGCCTATAAGTCTAAAGAGAACCAATATTTGTTTTCTGAAGCAATTATTTGACTGATCTACCAACTGTGAAAATGCTTCTTCAAGTTAAGGATGAGGATAGAAAAGAAGAGGCAAGTCCTGTATAGAGCAGCAAAGGATTGGCCTCCATCATCAAAGCTCATTTCATGAACAGTAGATAGAAGGAAAGATTGTGGCGACTTTGTTCTGTCTTGTAAGTATAAGATTGTCAGCAGTTTAATGCTCAAGGCATAGCTCTAAGAAAAATTGGAAAATGTACTTGCCCACTATTCTTCTAGCAATACTCTGGATTTTTCCTGCCTTTGTGGGAAGTTGATTTTCTGTTATTGTTTCTACATAAATTAAGAGGATCACTTGGATATTTTCAAAAATTGTATAGAATTAAATAATTTTTATTAGTTTATTTATCAAGTCTAGGAACTGATTTTAGGGGTGGAGGAGTTTGTTATATAATTTAATCTTAGTCTCGTGAGTAAATGAACATACAAGTTTAAAGGTATTGGGAGAGAGAAGGAGACACTTGAGGGTATGTCAGGAGACCACTGTTCTAGGATATGTATAGAACCAAAACCAACACATAGTAGGTTCTTAATGAATGTTTTTTGAATGAATAAATTCCCTAAAATACCTGTGTGACGTGTGGCAACACATATAGCCTCTCTGGTTGTCAGCATCCTCCTCTGCAAAATAAAGGTGTCTGACAATGATTTGTATGGACCATTTTATCTCTGAAATTCTTTGATTCATAATGATAATTAATAACAATGAAAACAATAATACGAATTAGCTCCAAGGTCCCACAATTCTCAAGTCAAACTATAGACAGTTATTAGAACTCTATCCTATAAGATTCAATTAACCCTTAGAAAATAAGTCATCTGTTCTGATTGTAGGGGAAAAAAACTCATTGGGTATACATGTGCAAATAAAATTTAAAATTTCATTAATAAGAACATCTAACAATGCAAAGTAGCACCCATCTCTATGAACAAATGCTTATCTGTGGCAATACGATTATTTGCAATTAAAAGATAATTTTTTTTCCATAAGTTTTGACTAAGGTTCGAGAGTCTAACTCTTTCAGGATGTGCATTCATTTAAACAATTTACACAGACATTTTAATTTGTAGAATTCTTCCTGATTTCTTCCTTCATATCATTTCAAAATGCATTCTTCCTTTAGAATATGTGCATGACATACCATATTTATTCATTTACCCAGTATGACATTCACAGTAAAGGAACCTCCAGTAGGAAGCAATCAGTAGTTATTACTATCTCCAATTCTGTCTTCTACTTCTCTGATTTGTTTTGCTTTTTGCATTTTCATCAGATAGTTATACCAGCTCCTCTAGACTTAGTAGCTGGACCAGCAACTGACATCGCCATGTCAAATTTTAGGGAATACTTGCTCATCTTCCTGATCTAGGTTATGTAGGTACTAACAAAGCATTTTTTCCCCCTGAGATCAATCAAAGAGAAAAAAACAGAAGTTCTAAAATGCAATATTATTTGGAAATTGGAAAAAGAAAAACCTGAAAACTGAAATTATGGACATCAATGAAATTATGAGCACAATTTTATTACTGAATGTAACTAAGTATCCATCCCCATTTTCCTATTCCTGTAAGTCACTGGAGACATTGCATTTCAATGATTGTCATTCAAATAAGGTAGTTATTTCTCTGTTCATTTACGGAAAAGTGAAGATTGACGTACCCTGAGTCCCGAACCTTGGGACGAGTGTCTAGTTCCTCTCATTTCTCCAGGTGAGAAATGGGTTGACAGCTTTGCAGAATTCTAATTTCTCCAATTTTACAATAATAGAATTATTTTATGACTATAGTTATGATGATAATGTCAACAACAGTATGAGAAGTTGATCTCTCACATACAGTAGATCCCTTACATAGCTATATATTTCCCTTTGTAAGACACTGGGAATCAACCTTCTCCATATTTTAATGCACTGGCTGCTATTTGATTTTAAATAACTTTACCTCATCAAGCAGAGCAGGCAGATAGCTGGTAATCTTCGTGAAAGCAGAGACCATGCCTGTTGTTTTAGCCGTAGTACTCTGCGCAGCGCCTAGCACAGAATTATGTGTTCAGTGGATATTTGTTGAACAAGTAAAATATGTACATGCATGTGTGTGCACACGTGCACACAGACACAGGTATCACAGTCTATTTGCTTATAGCTTAAAAGAAACTAGAGCAAGTTTTGAGGAACACCCACAGTGAATGATATAGAAATCAGAGAGTGGGATCTAAATGCATTTAAGGAAACCTGTTTATCCCTTTTTCATTGCTTCTCTGCTGGAACCTTTAGGGTTAGCCAGACCAAGCTTTGAACCTTGGATGCTAAACTGACTGTATAAATATGTATCTTCCTAGGTTCCTCTTCTTTAACATCAGAATAATAACACTTACTTCTTAGGGTTTTCGTATGGATTAAATATACTTATAAGGCCGCTGACGCATTTTTGTGTCTAGATAAATAGTCATTGTTCAATTGTTATAGAGCTTGCATGAGAATGAGAGTTGGGGTCGTGTGGGGTGGGTTTTCTGGACATTGGCATTAGCTGGGTTTCAGATATGACAATTATAGGAGGTGGAATAAAAGAGGCTAGAAGTAGAGATTTCTTTAGTAAATATCATGTGGTTAACGTAGGTTTATGGGTATAATCAAATCTCTGTTGAAGGGTTTCTCAAATCTCTTTGCAAGTCTACACTGAGTTGCAGTATAATGTTTTCCCCTTCTACTCCACCTTGGCTATCAATCATTTGTTCTACTTTGTGTTTGGACTTATCTTGTCCCATTAACCGTAAATGACTAGGGAAATTTTGGGTTATTTGCTTTTCCTGTTAGAATTTTCTGATCTTTCTTCCACTCAAATCTTTATGCATACCTCTTGTCTGTATCTATGAAATCACACCTGGGATGGACTAAAAGTGGGAGTACAGTGCACTTATGACATAATTCTTGCAGCCGATCCATATGGCAAAACTACCTGGCATTGAGTGAGGCATGGTGGTGGTACCACTGCTCAAATGGGATCATAGGAACCTGCTAATTATTTGTTTGCTTGGTTTTGGCACCTCCATGATGAGCTTATCCCTCAGTTCAAATCCTTGTATTTCCTGAAACACTGCTTTTTGCACAAAAATTACCTTAAAATTGTGGCAAGGAGATTTTCACATATTAGGTAGCTTCTTTCTTATTCATAAAAAATAAACTTACACTCTCACTATGATGCTATAATGGGAAACTGTCCAGGTTTATTTGAAGAAATCCAGTGGCTGAACCTAATGGATTATGGTTGAAACCAAAGCAGATTTTGCAGGCTGGTTTATCCAGCCTACGTGTGCAGCTCGGAGTGACCCATATTCTGTCTTCTGCTTCTAGTGTGTTGACCCAGGCTGTGCCTCTTAGAAGCTGAAGAAATTTATGAGACATGCTTAAAATAGTTCTTATGCTTGGCCACTAATAATCAACACAGAGAGTCACGCTATCAGTAAGCCCCCAGTGACTTGAATCCATCATAAGGACTGCCTGTGGCCAGCAGCACAGACCATTTTATACATGGAGTGATGCATTTTACTGGCCATGTTTGGCTAAACTGGCTGCCTCAGGTGAGTATCTTGTTTCCATTAAATCGCTTGTATTAGGAAATTACCTGAAACCTAAGAAGCTATTTCCTTTACTATTAGAATATAAGTAACAAGTGGACCCTGGTGATTATTACATTGCCTTCACATTCCCCATCAATCCCTTCAGGCCAGTCGGTGGCAGATCTAGGGTGGGATTTTCCTCTGCCTGTATTGCCTACTTTCAGGGTCACAAACCTGTCCTCTCTGTAACTTAGGGGCTCTTTAGTGACCTATGTTTCACTGTGTTTCCTCTACGGCAGATGTCTGACTCTTTAAAGTTTCCCCTAAGCAAGATGCCCCGTCTTTCCAAATACATCATGAGTAGGTGCAGGAATTTCACATTTTCTTCCCCTCTGCTCCAGGGACCAGTGATGGATGGTCACTGTAGTTCTTTTTTTTTTTGAGATTTCCCCTTTTTGTTTGCTAACCTATGTAGTTCATCACTCACTCTGTTCCCAAATTGTATCTCCCTGGTATTGTAAATACTTAACACATAATGGAACAACTTTTCATCTCTTTTTCTCTTTCTTTCTTACATTTTCACTTTGGAAAGAATTCATCAATATTGACTCTTGAATCATGAAAATGATCCTACAGTCACTGAATTATAGAGTCATAGAAAGTTAGAGCTGGAAGGGAGCTTAGTTATATTTCTCTTGCATCCATGCTTCCAATAGAGCATGTCCTGGCTTGTTGTAGCTGCATGAAAATTTCCCCACGCAGCTTCATGTGTCATAAAGCTTGTCACATGCTCTAATGTTTGGGGTTTTAATGCGAAACCCCAAACATCTATTAAGTCGAGCCCATTCAATCTCTAAGACTATACTGTAGCTATTTTAGCAGCTCGATATGGTGCAGGGGGCTATTCCACATAGAAGCAGTTGCCACTTAAAAGCTTAGAGAATGTGATTTGAAGGACACAGGGATGGTCCATATCAAAGCATATACCTCATCTCCTGGACAAAGACCTCTTTGTGGGGAAAAAGGCATTATCCCTCATGCATATATTTGAGACGTATATTACATTGTTATCTCACAGACTGGCATCTTGGTATAAATTGGTTTAAATCCTCCATTTTCTTCCCTTTATTGTTTCACTTAGAAGGAGAAAGTTCCTAGAGATGGATGACCAAAAGGAAGATTTGGTGTGGGTCCTGGAAATAAGGATGAGGAAATTAAATTGGGACTGAAGAGCAAGGTAATGAAGGCCAGTGTTAAGAAAGTCACTAAAACCACACTACACAAAATTTAACTTTCCCAGTAACAGCTCCCAACTGCTCAAGTCTCTCTACCATAAGATTGAGAAGAGGGTCTGTCCAGTGCTCTCCAACAACAGCATGGCAACCGACAGGACTGTTGTCAGGATAGCTTATGCCAGGAAGTGATCTCAACCTCTAATCTTATACTAAGGCTATACCACCTCCTCTTAGATATTCGTTCATGGCGTTTTTATACTGTTGCCTTTATTTTACATTTATATAGCCCTTTCCTCTGGGGAAAATTATACCTTCAAATGTTGACTTAGTGCTACCCTTGCTCCGTTTGTCATTGCTTATCCACCGAATACATATTTAGCTCCTTTAATCTTGTGCCATAAATACATCATTCCGTTTCTTTAATCATTTCAGTGCTATCCTTTATACTCACTTCAATTTCTCAACACATTTCGAGCGTCAAGAGGCCTGATGCTGGAGTTTAGCCTAACCAGAGTCAAGGAAGGTGGGAGTCATTTCTCTATATTTTTGCTCTGCTCCAACGTAATGGATCATTGTATTCAGTTCACAATAGCATCAGCCCCTTTGGCAGCCATATCACATTGCAAACTGATATCTAATTTGTCCTCCATTATCCGCTCCAGGTCTCCTTTAGTGTTACTACTTTCCAGGTTTCTCCTGTCCATTGAATGATTTTGCTCAAGATGTATTGGTTTTCATTTTTCTAAGCTGAATCTCATTTTGTTATTTTTGACTCATATCACTACCCTCTCAGGGTCCATTTATATAATATCTTAGGAGCTTCAGTGGTGCCTGCCATACATCTTAACTTATCACCTGCAAACTCCATTAATGAGTTATTTCCACTCTTTTCTTACCCAAGAGGTCATTAATATAATGAAAAATAACCATTCTTCCAGATCATTTTTAAAGAGATATATTAGGACCAAGTGAGGAATACTCCAAGAAAAAAATACTGTTTAGTACTGTTTTCATATATAACAAGAATATTCTTTCTACTCCTTTCCATTTTGAATTATGTGAATTAATTGCGATTATTTTCTTAATGGAGTTTGCTAATACTTATTTTCATGGAGACTACATTTTACCTACGCATGATTTGGAGTTGTTTAAACAAAAATCACTGTTTAAAGTGTTTAAATGTCATTACTCAGTTACTTGGAGGCCATCTGGATCCCTAAAAGGATCATTTAGCTTCTCTTTCCTCCATATGCCACACAAGTAATCACATCAACTTATCCTTTTATAGAAGGACTGATGATGATGTGTACAGATCTTATCAGGAATATTTCCCTTTTATTGAGTCAAAAGAGCCAAAGAAAACTGCAAAGAATGTTCCTAATTAGGTGTGATTATGTAGTATCACCTTTAGGGAGTCTAGACCTGGGGAATTGGAAAGAGACATTGACTTGTCATAAGAATTCCTAGGTTCTGACATTTGCTGAGCAATAAAGACAGTTATTCTAATAGAGTTTTGAATCTATATTTGCACAGTCTTGTTTGCAGGCTGTGTGACAAATATATGCTGCTATTTTTAATGTGTATATAGAAGTTATGGTTAGTACAAAATACGTATTTTTTTCTTAATATGAATATTACTATCTTATGAGTGTCCAGTAGTTGCTTTTAACATTTAAAATGAAAAAAGTCCTGTGTTGGAAAATGTGGGATTCACTGATCTGGAAAAAATATTTCAACATAGTGTCTCATCTATACAAGGAGTATGTTGGGAAGGACAGATTCTGGAAACCTCTTTCCCATCATAAGATTTATTTGCCATGACTAGGATGCATTCTATTGATTTCCCTCAATCATAAGGCGTAATGGCTTTGATTGCCACTGGCGTATCTAGGGATCTTTGATATATGCTTACAACAATAATAAAGATAATAGCAATCACTATTAAATTCTCACTATGTTACAGGCACTATTCTAGGCACACTCTTACACATTACCTCTTTTAATCTTTACTGCAATCCTGAGATATATTTTTTCTCCAATTTACATATTAGAAATCTGATTTTCTGAGAGTGTGAGTAAATTACCCAAGACAAACAGGTTTTAATTGAATGACAAGGATGATTGAATGATAAAGCCAGGACTATCAGATTCTATAATCCTTGCTCCACCCATAATGCCATGCATGATTTCCGGCCATACTGCATGTTCTACCCCACAATTTAGCACTGTCAAACAACCATTATGCTCGAGACTCTGTGGGTCAGGAATTTGCGAAGGGCCCAAATTTGAGGACAGCTTCTTTTTGCCTCATGATATCTGGGACTTCAACTGGGAAGACCCAAATCTGGGGGTGACTTGATGGCTTGGAGTACACAACAGTAGGGAGCTAGCATTATCTGGAGGCATCTTCTGTTAGATATATGGCCATTGATTCTGGCTGTTGGCTGGTTCCTCAGCTGGGCAGTCAGCCAAAACACCTATAGTGATGCCTTCAAGTGGAGCATGGCAGCCTGAGATTTCTCACCTGGTGAATCAAGGCTCTGAAGGCAAGTGTCTCAAGAGAATCAGGCACAAACTGTATCATCTTTTATGACCCACACTTGCAAATCATTTAGTATCACTTTTTTTGTACTCTTGGTCAACCGTTCCCTAAGTTTAGCCCAGGTTCAAGGAGTGAGGATGTAAACCCCACTTCTCCATGGAAAAGTGTCAATTTTCAGACATGTTTAAAATCTTTATAATTCAAGTTTTCCTGTGGGTTCTTGAAGCAGTCTTTCTTACGGCTTTGATTTATTTACTATGGTTCTCAGCCATGGCTGCAAATTGTCATCACTGGGCAGCACGATAAACCTATCAAGTCTTAGACTCCACTCCAGATATTCTGAAACAAAATCTGCAGCTGGGGGGGACCTTGGGAATCTGTAGTTGAGCCAAGCTTCTGGTGATTCTTAGACAGCTGGCCTAACTTAAGCACCAAGTTTTACTTACACTGTCTCGACAAGTGGAAATGTTCTCCAAAGCCAGGCCTGCTCTTGGTAGGCCTGCCCCATCCTGATTAATTTCTTGGCCTCTGCTGTTAAAGCTGCTTGTGTGTCATTCCCACCTCTTCTCCCCACCTTGGAGAGGCACCTGAAGCTTTACAAAGTACTACCTCTACATTTGCAAGAGGAATCCTGGGAGCTCCCTTCCCCATCTCATCAGGGATGAATGACAGGACTTTAAGCAAAATCTCTGCTGAAGCTATCACAGCAGGGGGGTACCAGCTTAAAGCTTAAAGTCAGTTGGTAATCACTCTGCTGTGAATGGTTGGGCTAGTAGCACCCAGTGATTCCATTTGCATATTTATAACTTGATGTGTGCACAGAAGTGCCACTTTGGGGTGCCACTGCAGCAGCTCCACTCCAGTGAAAACATCTTGCAAGAGCCTTGTCAGCTTCCTTCAGCATTTTTTCTGAGGTTTAGAACCAGAGGAGGGTGGCAGTCCACACCTCAGGAGGAATGACTGATAAGATCTATTAACTCTTTCTCCCCTTAGACATTAATCTCAACAGCTCTATTAGCAACCACTCCTCTCAGTGGGAATTGGCGCACTGCTTACATTAAAAATAAAAGAGGAAGGATGCTTCTATTTTACCTGCCTAGTTTCCAGTCTTCAGATTATCAGGAGTTTCACACATGTAGCATCCATGCATAGAGTGTGAGAAAAGAAGAGATAAAGGACCAGCTGAGGAGGCTGAAGAGATTTGAGGAGAAAGTGCTTGCAGGAAGAGTTTTTTGTGGCTTTGAGGCTGGAGGGCCCTTGGTACTTATCTTGAGCAAGGGACAAGTTACCAAGGACATTGCCATGCAATTCAATTAGAGAGGCTATGATGAGAACCCTACTGCATTCATCCATTGGCGAGAAAATCCAGCTCAGCTTGCTAAGCTTCTTGGCCCACAATACTTCCAAATCCCAGCCACTGCTTCATTACTGCATCTGGAGGAGGCTAAAGTGATGAGGATTGGTAAGAATTACGTTCTCCAAATCTTCCATAGAGGTAGGAGTCTTTGGAAAAAGTAGATAAAACAAGCAAAACTCAGTGAAAAACACGTCCTATCTTTTGTAGGACCGAGTTAAGGTTGTGGAGGGCAAGATGCAAATAGGTAACATTTTCTCTTCCTTTCTTTCCTGTTTGGAAATTTCAGACTGGGTTCAACTAGTGCATCTTTAAAAGTGTGTTTCTTGAACAGTCTGCATCAGAATCCCTCAAGAGTTTTATGAAAAATGAAGATGTCTAGAACCCACCTTAGATCTATGGAATCAGCAATTCTAGGGGTAGGACCCTGGAATCAGAATTAGTAACAAGTTGCCCAATGTCTGATACACACTCAAGTTGAAGAAGCATAACCTGGGTTCTGCCATTGCCAGTCATGGGGGAGCCCGGAAAGGTGTTGCTAAAGGTCTCTATTAACATGCATACACTCTTTCTCAGACCTTGTTCCTCAAGGAGACCCACAGGCACTAGGAGGGGCTTTTGAAGTTTGATGGTGTTAAGTGGTTGACCTTTATGAAGTAGTTAGAGTCTACTTTGATATTAATTAGTCATTAGGTCAGCAAACATTCTAAAGGACAGTGCAGAATACAGTAAAAATGCCTATTTGATTATTGACTAAAAGTTACAGATTATTTTCTATATTTGAAGCCAGTAAAATTGCGTGTCCTGATGACTACTAAATTTCCCCAGGCCTAGAAGAGCCAGTAGAGGCTGGGTAATATTCTCATCAGTGTAAAGTCCCAACAGGTATCAAATGATGTGATGTGCTTTACTAAATGAATACTGTGCAAAGATCATGTGGGTTAATTGCTCTTTTGACTAAATTTCTTAGAAGAGTAATGTAGAAAAGAGAGATAGAAAGTAGTAATTATTCAGCACCTGATATGTGTCAGGCACTGTGTTAGGTCATTGACATGCAAAATTTCATTTAATTCAATGCAATAGCTTTATATTTGTATATAAAAAGTATCATTTTAATTAAGTTAATCAGATTCTTATTGCTTATTCTTGAACATTACACTAATTTCCCCCCACACTGAAAATAAGTCACTGAATATAAAATGGAAGTGATTAGAAAAACATGATTTAGATGTAATGCCCTGTAACACTTGAAGTGAAGTTAAATGGTACCTTTATTCTAGTCCAGTCTTTACCGTTATATCATAAAGTCCCCTTCCATAATATTGGAAAATGTGTGAACACCTGGTGTTGGCAGAATTATGGGTAAATCTTGAAAATTTGGACACCATTCCATTTGTGACATTTTTTGACAGCTAAGGATTTGCATATATAGCATCAAAGAATTTTAGATTTGGCTAAAACATTTACTTTTTAGAATACGAAGCCAAAGTCTAAAAATCATATTTATTAAATTTTATTTCATGTTAACACCTTTCAGCCTTATTCTTAATAGAGGAATTTACATTAATTTCAAAGAATTTGATAAAGCTAGAAACAAACAACTATGATCCTTTTGATTTAACCATCTTCATAGAAAAATTTTAACTGGATGTTGAAAGATAGCACATGTGGATCTTCCCACTTATGGCTGATATATGTTGGGTGACTGTGCTTTAGTTTCCTTAACTCTAAAATGGGGATAAAAGATGTATCAAGTTCACTGGGATGTTGTAAGAACTAAATTAAAAAATGTACATTCAGTGCTTAGCATAGAGCTTATTAAAGTTGCATACATGTTTCCAATTATTATTTAAATAGATCAGTTTATAATGTGTATTAAATTCTACCTACATGCAGTAGTCTAGTCTCGCTAAAAACTACCCTATAATTCATACATTTTAGCAAGCCAAAAGCACCTTACCCTGCATTATTCTGAATTGGGTGACATTTTACATTATTTTTCATTATGAAAGCATCTTGATGACAATGAAATTCTTCATTATAAAGATCTGGAAATTTCAAACTCATTTGCTTTTATTTCTACATGCATCAGGCTGTTGTCCTATATTGTAGAGTCACAGAGGTTTATTTTAATCTTAAATAGTGAGAAGAAAATGCTTTTAATTTTCTGCAATAACTATACAGAAAAATATGCATTAGTTTTTAAAAGAAATTATCTTAATCAGATACAATGGGCCATCTTTGAAGAATGGTAATTAGCTTATTTTCATTGGCTATGTATAACAGCATACTTCCTTCCCATTTTGCTTTGGTGTGTCAGTGTACAGATGGGCCTTCTTTGTTGACAAGGTAGTAATGATGATGCCCCCATCACTCTTCAGCTCTTCTCATTAGCTCCTAACCGCCTTCATTTATTACTACTGATTCCCCCATGTTCAATATATTACATGTTAACAAATGGCTCTCATTTTACTTGACAATTCTAATAATTAATGATTATAGAAGCATATTAGACACGTAATGCCAAAATATATTACCTGTAATGTTAATCTCTGATTTGAGTTTCTTTTGTACGTTGGAATAGAATATGCTATTTAGAGGTCACAATGGGAACACAAACGCATCTCTACACCTCTTCCTCTCAATCTTACCCCCATTAATTTAAGTCAGTGAAGAATTCTAAATCTAGTTCTCCATTATCAGTATCAGGCTTGCAGGAAAGATCTCTGAGGCCCAGAGAAGAGGTGAAATTCATGATGGAAAGAGAGGGAGTGTAATGGTAAGAAATATTCTTGGCCTGGCATCTCTTTAGTGCTCCAGTGACTGTGGGAGATCACTTCCTTTGCATGATGGATTACCACTCTTCCTTCATCCAGTTTTTGGAAAGGAGGAGGAGAGCAGAGGAGCAGGCCTAGACCATTGAGTTCTCAGCACCAAGAGGACCAAAGACAAGGCATTGGAAAGGAAAATACATAGAGGAAGGGAAGTGAGGGTGTCAGCGCATCAGAAATAAGGAGTAGAATTGAGTACAGTTTGGTTGTACAACCAGACATCAAGTGTCCTGACATTTGTAATGGCTCAGCACAGATAGGATGGGTGCGAGAGAGACTCGATGATGTCCTCAAGGCATGCCACACAAACTCCAGCGTAATCCATTCTACCTGTAAAAGTTTTTTAAAGGTTCATTTTTTTTTTCCTTTTCTTTAATATGTCACAATCACATTCATTGCTGACTGGGTGTTATTTCATAGTAAAAATCATAATCAGCCGTTATTAGAGGCTGGCATTCTACCTGATCCTCAACTGCCTGATCAGTCAGATACGGGTCTAAAATTCAGTATGCTTTTGATACACTACTTAGTTGAACAGATATGTATAAAGTGTTCTAGTATGCCACAAAAAGTGCTGAAAGCTCAGGATATAGAAAATCAGATGGAGTTCTTCCCCTTGATGGGAAGAAATAGCCACATAAACTTAAACCTTGATATGAAGGTATTGTAGAACAGAGAACGAGGTGGCAACTAAGATTGGAGGTTTACAGAATACAATCCTGGAGACGATTATCTTGTCAGAATCTAAAAGAAACGTAAAAAGAATATTCTAAACATAGAAATTAGGATGAGCTAAATACAGAGTAAGAAGCTGCTAGAATGTTCCTGGAAACAACAGTTTGGTCTTACTAAGGTAAAGGACAGTAACATGGGTAGGACATGTGGTGGGAAAGCAAGGCAGCAAATCTTGCAGGACCTTGTTACTCAAAGTGTTATCCACAGCCCTCAGCTGGAGCCTGTTGGAAATGCAGCTCCTCTGACCAGAACTTCTACATCAAAATCTGGATTTTAACAAGATCCCAGGGCTGGTTGTTTTGGGCCAGCTTAGAGAAGACCAGCTGCAGAAGAGAAAAAACATTTCTCTCAATTCAAGAGAAAATGCTATTCACACAGGAGTGATGGGCATCCAACATGACTTGTAGCAAAAATATGAATTCAAGGAAACTGAGAGAAGAAGATCCAAGAGAAAACAAAACCTTGCTGCTGTGGTTCAGGTGTCTAAGAGCTCAGAATGAATAGACTATGACACTAGGATTGTTAATGAAAAGTTTTATTGACTACATGCTGTGTAGATGTCTATATATATCTGGCTATTTAGTCTAAAATTGTCAAATTTCTGGGATCTGGGTCTCAAGTAAAAAGTAGGATGGATAATTTGTGGAATACTTCTATCTGCTTAACTCCAAAGGCAGAACTCAAAGTTTGGAAAGGCCTTTTATGGCCTGGATATCACAGAGACAGAATTAAGCAGGAAAGCCTGCTTTAGCTCAGAGATGAGAGTGTGTGGTGGTGAGAAGACCCTTGTCACAACTAGCAGATAAATAGAATAAATCAGCTGAATCCTATGCTTTGACTCATGTATAACAATTACCAAAACTAGGGAGAGCCTTGGAGTATCAGCTGTAATATCAACTTGTTGACCACTGCCTTTGTTCATTCATTTGTTTGTTTATTCATACATTAATTCATGTATATGTTCACTCATCCTATAAATAATAATTAAATGCCTATTAAAGGATCAAGCAGTGTCTGAGTGCTAGGGATACAGTTGTCACTGATAGACCCCATCCTTGCACTCATGGAACTTATAAACCAGTAGAATAAGACAGATAGAGACACAAATAAATGACAAACAAGATGATTTCAAATGATAAAAACTGCTATGAAGGAAGAGAATAAGATAATATGTTGGAGATTCATTGCTTGGATAAGGAGGATATACTGCTTATGTAGGGTGGTCTGGGAAGGCCTCTGTGAGGTGTTGTTTAAGTTGAGACTCATGATAAGAAGAAGCCAGGCCACACCAGCAACATACATGCATATAGCAGAGTACAAGAAATATCTAACATTTCAGAATATGCAGATCAGAGATTAAAGAATTATTCACTAACATGATAAAATCCTTAGGTTTTTCAAGAGGGGGAGAATATCTCTCTTTCTATTTCCCTATCTCTATCTCTGTCTCTATCATTCTCTCTATCTCTGTATCTATTTCTCTCTCTCTCTCTCAAAAGTGAAAATTGGCAACTCTTCCTTATATGTCCCTGAGGTTCACGTATCTCTGTCTTCTGGAGTTGAGATGTTTCTTAAGCATAACAGAAATCATGTCATGACTCCTGTAAACCTTCAAAGACTGGTTTCAGTCCTATGTGAGTTCAAAGAATTGCCTTTGAGTTTTATACAGTGCTATGTGCATGGTAGTTGCTCAGTAAAGACGAGCTAACCTAAGGAATGGAATTTGTTTAATGATGGTAGTTTCTAAATATATACTTGTTGGTTAAAGAATGAAATTGAGTTTAATGAGATCATATTCTGTTTTTATGATTCTTTTTCAAAGATTCCAAAATGTGTTATTACTCATTCCACAGTAACCCCATTCAATTGCCTAAATCAGGTGTAAGAGTATTGATCCTAAAAGTATAACCCTGAGTAGTGATTCACAGTGTTGGTTCAAGATGAAAGTTGACTTAAAGAAACACTTTTGTCCTTATCATTCAAATGACACTTAGGTAAATAACAATAAAAGGGAGAACATACTTTTTACACAGCTAATTTTTTTCGATTAGATTGTAAAATACATTAAGATAGGAGCCAATTATTTATGCCTTTTTAGAATCCTAATTCTTAGCACATATACAAATGACAGATGCTAAGTAATTCTTGTGCCATGAACTGAAAAAAAGGTAGTCTTTAAAGCCAGCCAGATTGGTTTGAATCCTAGCTCTGCAACTTGCCAGCTCTACAGGCTTGAGCTAATAGGTATGTTAACTGAGCCTCACTTATCTCACCTATAGAACAGAGATCCCACTACCTTTCAAGACGAATTTTGGGATTAGTGATAGCTTAGGCAAAATAACTGTGGAATAACTATTCTTATTTAAAAACAGGAAGAAAAACAAGCATACTGTGCTATTAAGTTCTGTGAGGGCAGGAATGGGAACTGTATCTTTTCTGTATCCACAATTTCTGGCTCTCAGGAGTAGATACTCAACAAGTACTTTCTGAGTGAGTGAAGGAATGAATATTATGCTTGATGATTTGGCATAGGTAGGGAGGTGAGAAATAGTATTGTATCGTTGTGATTTATACCCAGTGATATACAGAGAATTAAAGACTTTAAGGACTGCCTTAGATATCCAACACCCTCAAATTTGTTATTGCCTCTAGGAGGAATACTCGTATGCTATCTCTAGAAAGAAAACTGTCCCTTTTATTTGTAAAGAACTTCAGAAAGAAGTATCACTCATATTTACTTTCCAATAGCAATTCTCCACAAGATAAACATACAGTTTAATCAAATAAACAAGACCAAGATGCCTCTCCAAATGTTACTTAAAAGAGTTGGGTTCTCTTTGTCTTGAAAAGGATCAAGTGACCTCAATGCAGACAAATTGTTTTTGGTTGAAGTCTGTTAGTGTTCTGTGAAAAGAAACAATGTCTCAGTCCAATGGCTGTCCAATGATTTGTGGTACAATGGGAATTTGAGCCTGGAAGGAAGGGTTGAAGGTTGTTTTGGGTCTTCAGTTCTTACATCTTCTTAAGCAATGAGTGAAGTCTGATGAAGCTGAGAGAATGTGTTAAACAAGGCAATGGAGTGGTCTCTATGTTCAAAAAGCAAGACAGTATGTTCTAAGCATTTCTGAGAGCCGTGATCAGAGTCTGCAAGTAAGGCTACGTACCTGTCGGAAGAGTTAGTATCAACCGAAAGAGATGGTGATATTAGAACTTAGGTGGAAAAAGATTCTGCTTCTCCAGGGACGTAAGAATCTGAGATGAGCAACTCTTTCACTGATGGTAGAAATAAGGAAAGTTACCAATGAGGAAGAGATTTCATCTAGATATAGAAATACCCAGATCAGATAATCTGAATAATCAGGTGGTGGAAAAAATATTGCTTTCTTTCCACTGTTGATTTATAATGTTTCAATTAGATATTTCCACCATGGTGTCTACAATGAGCAAAGCCCTCTCTGAAGAAAATTGTCCCACCCTTCACCTACAGCCACTGCTGAGAAACCTTCTAAACTACCAAGTTTGCCCTCCTATGTCCTCCTACCTAAACTATTCTCACTTTGACTCTACCACAATTCACTGAATGGAGTGGGCATCACTAACTGGGAAATGAATCTATAAACTGACCTAAGGTACAGCCAATGTAAAAGAATAAATGAGGCTAAAGAGATCGGCTCTGGACTTTGAATTGGGAGTGTTACTACAAAATGGCCTAGTTAGCGAAGGAAATGGAAGCTGAATCACGCAGAGAACCCATCAGCTAAAGTCAGAGGAAGCTCAAGTTGTGAGAAAGAAGCTGTGATTAACCAGAAGCTATGAAGTTGAAAAAAGGTGTGCAAATTAAGGGAAAAAAATTCACAGTCCAGCTGGCACTAGGAAGAGAAGTGAACATTCAGAGATGGAGATTTGTAGAGAGTAGCTAACTCATATTTATGGTTGACAGATATTAACCAATTTCTGCTCCTCCTGCAACCTTGCCCTGTTGTAATTCCTTTTCTTACGGAGTTTAGAGTTTTCGGTCTTTCTTGGCTGAAGATTGGACAGCCTATCTTTATAGTAAGACCCTATCCTTTGTGGTAAACCTATTTTATGACCAACATATCCAGATTAAAACCTGTATGATGACCAAGAAGCCAGTTTTCCTTGGCATGTTCTCAGTTTTAGATATTCTGTCTCATTGTTCATACAAAATTATGGTTCTATTTGTGATTGGAAAAGTGTGAATGCCATACTCTTAGCTGGCCTAATACAATTTGCAGAGAAGTGGGGAGAGGAGAAACGAGGAGGAAGGAAGGTAGGGAAGCAGAGAAGGAGGGAGAGGAGTGACAGTGGGAGAAAAGAAGACTAAAAGAAATAAAATTAAAAGATTGAAAACTTTGGATAGGAATACTGCAATCCATAAGTAGGTAGAAAATTCCCCTGAGTGAATTTGGAGTTTAAGAATGTTTGTTTACCTACAATAAGTCTTTTAAAGTTACTGTCTGTCAAAAGAAATAAGATAATTTCAAAAATTTTGCATGCCCAAACATACAAGGCCTAAATCTTCTGGGTAAATAATATGCCTCCAAGCATAGCATAAAATAAACACACTGAAATAGTGTTAAGATGGGGGTGGTGTTTGCATGTGACTTGTGTACCAAGAATCCATCTACTACTACTATTTTCCTTTTTTTTTAAGAAAAGTATAAGCCTACTTACAGAGCCCAAAAATACATTAAAGAAGAAATCTGGATGTCCCTGGTTGAGTTTGCATAAAGGAGGCAGACACGTTTCCGTGTAACAACTCAATGGAATGGTTATAACTGCTTCAATAATACAATACAATAAAATTTATTTTTATATTGGGTCATAAAATTACTATACCAGAATTGGGCAATAGTTTATCAGTTCTCAAAATGGCTAGTGTAGGATGCAACTGAGAAAGGTATAAAATTCTTCAAATGTGTCTAATTATCCCAAACTCTACCTCCTATGGGAAATATTCTCCTAACCATTTCTGTTGATCAGTTTATGTTATAAAACATATGGGTTGATGACCCTTACAACATGGTTTTGCTTCAGGGGATAATGTAACTACAGATCTCTTTTATTGTCCTATAAATACTATGTCTCCTCTTGAAATAGTATTGCATTCATCATGTGTCTTCCTCAAATTATTTTCTAGTGTCGTTATTTCACATATGAATTGAACATCACTAAGCCCTATATAGAATGAATGAATTTTGGGAAACAAGTATTAAAAATGACCTAGGCTTCGGAGCGGGGAAGCTTGTTGAGCATAACTGGGACCAAATTTGAATTCCAAACCCTTCTCAACACAAGCCCCAGACTCCACTCAGTTGGTTGGTTTTGGAGGAAAAGGAGAGGTTTAGAAGCAATTTACTCTTTTCTCTCCAGGCCATAAGGCCTGTGTGTGTGTGTGTGAGTGTGTGTATGAGGTAGAAAGAGGAGGGGAGAGAGAGAGAGAGAGAGAGAGAGAGAGGAGCTCTGAAACATTAACACTGATATGAAAAAGTGAAAGTCAGAGTACTTAAATTTGAACCCAGAAGCCATCACTTACTAACTGTATGATCTTAGCTAATTAATCATTCAACTCAGTTTCCTGAGTAGTAAAACATCATTAATAGCACGTTCCTTCTAGAGCTGATGTGAGGATTCACTGAATCTTCACATTGTACTTGGCACATAGTGAGCACCTAGGAAAGGTGAACCGCTCATAATGACCACGGCTATTCTTTATGTAGTCGCAGGGATTAAACCTGATCCTGTAAGTAGAGAGAAGGATTTTCTTTTTTAATGTCTCCTATGGAAAGATATCCTTACAAAGTAATCATTGAGAGAGGGAATGGACAAGTTTAGTCTAGGAAACTCTGACAAGCAAGAAGGCTGAAAGAAAAATGCATGGCCCAGATGCCCTCACAATGGTCCTGAAGGCAGGAAGAGAAAACCTTGAAAGCAAATGAAGGAAAAAACGTTGAGAGTAAGTTTACCCAAGCGTGGGATTTCATCACTGCTTGCTTCTGATATGCCTGTCATGCGCTGGTGCTGCCACTGTAATGAAGGTTGGATTTAGGGTGGTAAATGGTGAAAGAGAGAAAATTCATCATTTTTTATTGAGATATGATTGGCATTTAACATTGTATTAGTTTTAGGCATACGACGTGATTTGTTATGTATATATTGCAAAATGATTACCACAATAAGTTTAGTTAACATTCAGTGTCAAGAGGACAGAAGACAAAAGAAGCAGAAAACAGGGTGGAGAGAAGCAGGTAAAAGTAAGGATAAATGACATTGAAGCTTTTTCTCAACATTTGTTTCCTGACCCATTCTCTCCATGATTTCTGAGCAACACAATTAGCTAGATGTCACAGCACCCTCAGAGAATCTAGTACTTCTGGCTTGTGCCAACTGTCAGGTATACTGACATAACTGTACAAAGGGAAAAATGGAGGAAAGTTTGACTGGCAGGACAGATTAATGCCCTGCTAATGCTATTAATTACTGCCATTGTTTCCAAGGGCTGAGACATGGGAAATGCAATAGCAGTTTTCTTGTACGTTGACCTGAAAGGCTGGTGTCTGACATCATGTGGGAGGAGTAGAGGTTGGGGGTTACAAACATAGCATATTGTTTTGCCGACACATGCAAATGTTTGGAAAGTCTTCCAAATTTAAAGGAGAAAAAAATACAATATAAATTGTAGTCAAAGAAAAAAACAAACCATAGTTTGGTTTTCCATCTTCCCTGGGGAGCAGCTGCTGATTTCACTCTAATTTTAGCTGCTATTGCTTTGAGCTAAACTTTCCATTTTTATTAAAAAAAAACAAAACTAAAACTTTGAGTCTAGAGGATTACAAGCTCCTGTGCTTTTGATTTTTAATAAAAAGCGAGCATTTACCTCTGAACAGTAGCAGCAAGAAAGGGAATTAGACCTGAGGCTAGTGGGCTGACCTTTAGAGGGGTGCCGATCCAGAGGGAGAGGAGGAAGTTAACACACATTGCTTTTCTTTCTCATGTACACACTCTCCAGCTAATATTCTTTTTTATATATTTATTTAAAAGGGGAAAATCATTTGATTTTTAAAAAATCTTTATTCATTAATGTTTGTGTTTCATGAATTGGTTAGGTGGATGCAAATCCTTCTGAGTGCTAGGCCTGCTGCTATGATTGGATTTCCATATATCGTATGAATGGCAATAGTGCAGCTTTAAGGTATAGAAAGAGAAATCACATATCCATCTCTATACAAGAGTCTACTACATGGGGAATCTGGGGTGTTGCCTGACATGGTGAAACCAATTACTCCAACATGGCTGACAGACTACTCCTTGCAACTGGGATTATGTATACCATAATGCCATTCTTTAGTCTGTTCACTTTTTTATAGAGGAAAGGAAGCATAGTAAATTTAGCCTAATTTGCATATGATTTTTCTGTAAAACAAGTGTATTCCTGTGGCATTAAATGAATACCATTGTTTAAAAAAATGGGCTATGATCCATGAATTCAGTTTACAAATTTCTATTTGCATTGTTCCTCAACCCTCTCCCTCCCCACCACTTCTATACACTATTTTGTCTCAACAAAGGAACTTGCCTATAACTAGCTTAGGATGTAAAATGTTCAGCTTCAAACTTGGCCTTCCCCTCGTTATGCTTTTCCCATTCTCCGTTCCTCTTGCCTCTTGTAGAAAGCGTGTCAGCCTGATAGAATAAAGGTTGGGAGTTCACGTTTCTATTAGAAATCATTCACAGCTTTAATTCTCTCTGTCAAATGGATCACTACTCTTATAGCATTTAATTGTCTTTATCATCCCAAAGTACTCTACTTTCAGAGAAAATATTTAAAGAAGCCTTTGTTAGAGTATCCAAACTTAGCGTATTGTGCTGAGTTTTGTTTTCATGAATTTTGCCTTCATGTGGGTATTGGCATTAATTAGATGTGTACATTGAATGCTAACTGCATTATGTTTAATTACTTTTCTTGTGATTTTGTCAGTTAAAATTATAACCATAGGATAATAGAAATCTCTCTTGGAGCTAATTAGACCACTAAGGATCGTTTGTAAAGGTCAGGCTCGCAGTCGGCTTGGGAGGAACGGAAGACTTACTGGGCAAAGAATGGCAGTGAGGAGACAGTGTGGACTTAGAGAATGTCAGGCTGGAAGAGCTTCTGGGATATCGTGCCCAGTCCCTTCCTTCTCCTGGTGGGGAGACTGGACAGAGGTGAGGTTCTCTGTCTCTCTCTGACTTGCTATGAAATCTTTAGATGAATGATTTAATTTCTCAATGTCTAGTTCATACAATCTGCTACTAAAACCCCAACTTTCAGTTCATGTCATGCAGATTGTCCAAGGGTCCCAAAGGACTTGATGCAACTTTGCCACCCTCAGAGGTGAGAGTGAGAGCTGTATAACTGCGTTCATAGAAGACAGTTGCATTAACAGGTTAAATGAAGGGACTCCTGGCTTCTTAAAATAAATGAATTCTTGATCCTATTGCTGACTTCCAAACCTCTTTTTTTTTTTTAAAGGTATAGAAAAGTTCTATTGGGCAAATAACTGTTGCAACAAAATAATAGGAGACAGAATTTAAGACAAAATTATTAGTAGAAATAGGAGAATTTTTTTAATCCTTTGGTGCTTTATCTTTTTTTTATTTTATTTATTTTTTAATTTTTATTTTTTTTGGATGTACATCATATTTAGAATTCTGTATACATTGCATCATGTTCACCACCCGAACACTAATTATAGTGCATCCCCTCACATGTGAGCCTAGTCACCCCTTTTGCCCTCTCCCCACTTCCCCAAAGGTAACCACCAGTCCAATCTCCAATGCTATGGTTTTTTTTTTTCCTTTTTGTCGTTTTTATCTTCTACTTATGAGTGAGATCTTATGGTATTTGACTTACGAACCTCTTTTCTTGCTGCAGATTAAAAACAAAAATCATGGACTGTGTCTGCTGTCTTCATTTTCTCCTTTAACATCATGCCGACTGGATTTGGCTCTTCCTACCTAGAGAACAGTACTCTGGAAAATCACCCATACACCCCTCTGGCCAAATTGAGTGACCTCTTGTCAGCTTCCATCCTCCTTTACTTCATTTTGGCATTAATTCTTGTACTTACCACCTCATTTTTCTTTTTTTTTGGAGGAAGATTAGCCCTGAGCTAACGTATACCACCAGTCTTCCTCTTTTTGCTGAGGAAGGCTGGCCCTGACCTAACATCCATGTCCATCTTCCTCTCTTTTATATATGGGATGCCTGGCACAACATGACTTGACAAGTGGTGTGTAGGTCCCTGCCTGGGATACAAACTTCTGAACCCCAGGCCGCCAAAGCGGAACAAGTGAACTTAATTGCTGTGCCACTGGGCTGGCCCCACCACCTCATTTTTGATGCACAGTTATTTTTTTGCCTGTCCTCACTGCCCTAACCTATTTTTTTCCCAATTTTCTTTTCATACGTTCATTCACTCAACAACCATTTATGATCAGCTACCATTTCCCAGAGATTTTGCTAGACATGGAGGGTGCATTGATGAGTAATAAATAATTTCCAAAACAACCTAAGAAGCATAACAAGGACAGAACTCTGTATGCAATGTGGGATTCTGTGATACCATGTGAAATCCTACTCACAAGAAATTCCCTATGGTCAGTAGTTTCAATCTAGCATACTGCTGCTTTGCTAGGACCTATGATGGTCCACATTACTTGAGTTATCACGTCTCAGCTCTTTAACCTGTAGTCAAGGCATTGCATCAAGTGATGTTTTTTCACTTGCTGAATTTGTCACTGGGCCTCTCCTCACAAACCACAGTTGCTCTCATTTCTGTGACATTGTTGAAGTTTCTCCCTCTATCCCAAATGTTACATTTGATCTTCGCTAACTGTTCAAGTAGTACTTTCTGTTTCAATCCCCTTCTCTCTGAATACTTAAATTCTTATTTGAATACACTGACTTTTTTCACCTCTGAATGCCGTTAGTTTTTGAACATGTAGTTGGAATTCCAAAATTTAGTTATTTATCATATACCAAAGACAGTCCATCAAGCACATGAATTCTGGAATCAGTGCTCCATCATTTACCAATTGAGTGGCGGCTCAATGCTTCTATTTTCTCCTCAGTAAAATGGAGATAATAGTAGTACCTACCTCCTAGAGTTACAGAGTGGGCAAAATGAGGAAAGAGATAGGTATATAGATAAGTATGTAGGTAGTTGAAAGATAGATCGATTTTCGATAGAGCTATCACTTCAGCACTTAGAACAGTTTCTGAAACATGTTAGGCACTCGGCAAAATGTTAGATGCTATTATTTTATATTTACGTTTGTAAATAACTATTTTCTGGGTATATGTCTCATTTCTTTAAGCATAAGTTCTTTAAAGGCAGAATTACTATATTTTATTTCTTCTGTAGCCAATGCAGAACTGTCCTTCGTGCTTGCCATATAAGGGATACTAAATTGACTGACTGAGTTGTTTAATAGCTATTTATTTTTTCCATTTGACTCTGTCGCCATCCCCAACATAGATTTGTCTCTCCTAATTTTTAAAAATGTGTACCACATGCTGTGGGTCTCAGTTTAAGAAGCTATTTAGAACTAGTACAGTTCCAGGGAGCTTTGGAAAAAAGACAATATACACGACACTGGACCTCTATTACATCTGGGGACATTTTTGATTCTGCAAAGAGGCTTCAGGAAGGAATAGGCCTCTGAGTGAATCTTGGAGGCTTGGTAAATAGAATTTGAGAGATAGATATTAAGATATGGGTAAGATCAATCCAGATGGAGGGGCTGGAATGAGCAAAGTCCGGAGGCCAGAAAGTGTGGAGCTGTGTTTGTGGAAATCACAAATCATTCACTTTAGCTGGTGTAGCACAGCATTGGAGAGAGAATTTGAAAATTGGGGTGAAATACTGAACTTGAGGTTCATCCTATTTTAAGGTCAGTGATATTTTTATCCAATTATATGCTTAAATGTTATCATTGTTTAGTAGGTTAAACAAAAGCTAGAAATTGATATTGCTTTCCATTTTCTGGGAGTTGTGAGACTCTTCATTTTTTAAGGGGAAATAATTCATTCTTCAGTCTTATATATGGCATGTTTGAATAAGATGAGTTCAGCTTTACATAAATGTTGACAGCTCTAAAAACAGCAGTACTTATGGTCAAGCTAAGCTCTTGATACAGCAACCCCAGCGGGCTTCCAGAACCAGGCAGGGGAGATCTGAATAAAAAATGGCCCCTCAAACTACCTTGTCTGTCTCTACCAGTTAAACCCATAACTATTTTCTGACATGGCCAGGTTCCATTGACACCAATGTCAGTTTTGTTTTCCTTTTATTAAGGTAGACTCATTTCACATTTTATAAGATAGGAGGTGCTAGGCAGAAATTCTCCTCTGAGATCCCATAGCAATTTTTTTTCACTTTGGGTATGTGGCATGTTGTGGTATAACTTATCTATTTATGCATCTGTCTTCCTCACCAGCCTATGAGTTCGATCAGGAATTTCTTGAAATCTGTGCCATGTTTTGGGCATTGTCCTGAGGGTTTTACATGGGCAATTTATTCACGTTCATAACAATTCTCTGAGGTGGATACCATTATGAATCCCATTTTACAAATAGGGTACTGATGTATACAGAGGATAAGGAAATTATCCAAGTTGTATAATTAGTAGATGTTGGAGTCAGGATTTGAACTCAGTCTAATTCCAGAGTGTGGGCTCTTCAATACCACATACAAAAATGAATATCTGTTGATTGAATACATAAATAAATGGAACAAATGCTATTATGCACATTTTGGTAGAAAGAACATTGGATAGGGAACTAGAAATCTTGATCTCTAGTCCCAGATCTGTTTCAAAGCAGCTGGGTAACCTTGCGCAAATATGTTAACTTCTTTGAGTCAAATTTCTTGACTGGGTTATTGAGAGAATGATTATATGACATGTGTGAACATGCTTAGCACAAGGCCTTGTATATTCTAAGTTTTTATAAATGCTAATCTTCTTTTGTCTCACCCTTCTTTGCCCTAAGAGGCCTTTGAACTAACCTTGACTTTTCTAAGGCACATGACATCCTGTCTCAATCTGTGCCCAACCCCCGTGGGCCAGAAGGTGCTTGCCCTCACTTGAATGAGGGAAAACACAGGCAGCGCCAGATGATTATTGAGAGGGCAGAACTGGGTGAGGTTACTGCAGCTGCCACTTCAATGACCAATGACGGCAAGGGGCCATCACATCAGTGCAGGGCCCCGTGTGGCAATGCTGAATGCACCCGTCTCAAGTTGCTCTGTATCTCTAATGTGAGTTACACATGTAATTATCCAGGCAGCAGGCTAAAATATCTCCACAGACAGAAAAGTTTCATCAGCAGAAGGGCACATTTTGTTTCATGTGACTCCAGCAGAGCACTGCCAAGTGGTATAAAGCTGTGGTGATTAATTGAAGGACAAGTTAGAAAGTCACGGAGTAATATGTTGTCTCCATGGCCAGGCTTCCATGGGTTAAGCAAAGCAGGAGACTGAGGACTGCACCTGAGACTGTGAGAAAAAAAAATACCCGCAAAGCTGTTTTTAGTTATGGTATCTTTGCTAGAATATGCCTTTCTTCGAAAGAGCTCAAGATCTGTATTTTTGCTACAGAATCCTTAATATTGACTAAGACTATCACTGCAAAATAAGATGTGAAATCACATTTTAGATAAAATTTTGTTGGGGAGCAATGACATGAGTGAAATGTGCATATTCTGTGAATTAGTTTTGTGCCTACAGATCAAAAGATACACACAGACATGCTTGCAAAGACACACCTAGGGGTTTTTTAAATCATTTAAATAAAAAGCTTATTATTCTATTATCTTGGTATCCTTCATCCCTCCAATTGAACTCAGCTTCCTGAGAGGAATCTTCATGGGGGGGGGGGGGGGGGGGGGACAAGTGGGGAGAGGTGTGTGTAAGGCCAGAGACTCAAAACTCTTCTTGTGAGGAATACAGACAGGGCAAGTCCTGTGTGTTCTGGTGTGCCTAAGAAATGCTTGTGAGAATTGCAGACGGGTTAAAAGGCATAGGAAATGGAAGAAAAACATGCGGAAGGAAAAACAAAATGAATCATGAAAAACTGCAAGGAAGATGAGGAGAGAGCAAATAAAGAACTCAGAGTAGAAAAGAGGAAAAGAGAAGGAAGTGAGCGTGGTTAGGAGGAGTAAGTACCACCAGCTTTGGCGATAGACAGTGGCTGACTCTGTCAAGGGTGCCCAGACACTACTTGTATGTTCTTAGTCAATCACTCCACTTCTCTGGGCCTAGATTTCCCATCCATGTAATGAGGGAGTTGCACTAAGTAAACTCAAAGTTATGAAAATCCATGAAATTAAGATCTTGGGCCATCATCCATCAGTACTCAATTTTCTTGAGATATTTTGCTTTCCAATTGGGAAACTTCTTCACAATTCAGTAAATACAGAATCACTACTTCAAAGGCCAGGTCTGGAATAACTAGGAATCTTGCTGGACAGATTTGAGGCTTGTGTCTGAAAAGCTATATATACAGAAAGCCCAGAGGAT